AAAGTATACCACCCAAAAAATAAAAACCCTTAGAAAAACACAAAAAGGTGACAGCAAGAGAACTGTGGGTCAGTGGCTATGGGCTGAACAACCCAACCAATTTACCATTTCCATGGTTTGGGCTCAATGTTATGGAACAAGTCTAACTAAACGTGCAGTAGCGGTCTGACCGTGACTCAGTCTGCAACCCAACTTCAGCCCTTTCAAATTATAATCAGCTCATAACTGGGAGCGGATCTATATACCAAAGTGATGGGGTATTGAGAAAATCTGAAATATGAGAGAAATTTACATATTACGGAGTATGTCATTTCACGTACTATCTCGTTTATCGCCATAAGTAATAAAAAAGATAGAGAGAAATTAGTAAACCTATTCTTCATATAGCCATTTTTTATTATGCAAAGTAATAAGAAAGATTGAGAGCAATTTTAATCGCCGCCCTATTCTGTATGTAAATTAGGGTAATAGGAGAAGAAGAAAAATGATATCACCGACTCTGTAATTAACTTATCACATTGCATAATAAAAAAATGGCTATACGAAGACTAGTAAACCTAATAATTTTGTATTCAAGTAAATATAGCGCAGCCTCAGACACTAAATGGGTACTTTTCGAGTCATTATCCAATAAGCATAGCTTACCACTTGGTGAAGTTATGGATCCATGATATTGACCCATGCTGGTTAGGATATATATTTCTTTAGGCAGAGACAAGAAAAGAACAATATCTTTTTTCCCAGATTACGAATTAGATTTGTCTCCTTCGCCCCATGCCCCGACCTAACACGGAACAAGCACTCACTGAACAATCATCACCCCGGACCACATTAGCTAAAATATATGTATAGGATGCCAGGCCTAACCCAAATCTAGTGGTATATTCCAATGTTTTTTTTTTATCCCCATTTAATTTGTCCAAAAGGGATATGGATATTTAATTATTCATTATATCTAGAGTATTGGATATTTTGTTTCTATATAATATGCCTACCACTCTACATCCCAATTGGTGAGAAGGCTGCCTAATTATATTAATTACCATCGTCATGATCAACAACGCAAGTCTAAAGCTAGCCCTGACTCGTTCTCCAGGAGAGTTGGAGTTAGGGTGAGTGTGTTGAACCGGTGAATGGGTAAACAAGAATGAATCGAGATGAAAAAAAAATCAATAAAATCTGATTCGGCTATCGATTTTTGTCACTTTAAAAGCAAATGATGTCGGTTATATAATTTTTATTTGTTCTGACATGTGTTGATTTTTTATTGGTAATAACACTATTTTGTTATTTCCGGCAAATAATGCAATGACACGTGGAAAAGTTATTATACGTATCATTGTTCTAGGAATAGCAGAAGTACTATACCATTGCACGAAAGTCTGTCTCCTCCATCTCTTCCTGTTCCTCAAACTGAACAAAATCAATTGGTCGATTTTTGGAGTGAAGCGGGCCGAACCAAGACCCACCCTAGTTGGAGCAATGTAGAAGGGATTGTTGGTACTTGAGAAGGAAGTTAGAGGAACAGATAACACAATTACGGCCATAATTATGATGCCGATGTTGATTAAACTTTTGATCATGATTGCATCAATGAACAACAACAAGAACAACAATCAAATTGTGAACCGCTATTTGTATTGTCTTAATCAATCGATCATCTTTCACACTATATTTCAAATAATTTAACTTAAAAGGTTTTGAAGTCTAAAAACGTGCATACTCCCTGCAGTAGGCAGGTGGCAACCAAGTTGGTCATTGAACACCATTATTTATGATCACTATCTATACCTATCTTAGGTCTTACTCATGCCATAGGCCCATAGCTTAGGCTTTTCCTTGTGCTTCTTTTCTCATTCTTTGTCTTTTTTGAACTGTTCCTTTTGTTAACAAATTAGACCGGGCAGTGGGCACAGCTAGCAAACTTTAATATATATTTCACAAACCTGTAAATACTCTCCTATATCCTATGCTACTTCCAAAGATATCATTATCAGATTACGCAAAACAAATTAATAGTCGGTTTGTAAGGCTTGGAAAGTATCCCTTTTCCTCTTCCTTCTTGCTTTCTTTAAAATAAAATATTAACTTTTTCTTTCTCTTTTCTTTCCTCCTTGGATGGAAGATTACAACATACAAAGCTGCACACGTCAAGAGGACGACGTTCAAGGATGGATCATATTAATATGATATGGACTTGGCAAATTCGGTCGGTTGTTAATTTCAACCAATATAACTATTTTTTTTGGTTGGGTTCCTTCCTTTCCTTTCTAAATAATGACATTTGGAATTATCACAAGTTTTCATGATGTTAATAGGTCGTGGACTCGTCACTGTATTATGAATTAATGATTTATTTTTTCCTGTTCTTGGGTTTCATACTATCATAACACAAAGCCATGCTAGATAAATGATAAAAATTCAATCAAAATTTATAAGTTAAGTCAAATTAAGTACCTACTAATTAAGCAAACGCAGATTGTTTGTCGTCGTTTTTATTTTCTAGTTCAAGAGATTTTTTGTACTAAATCAAACACATCGGGTTCTTTAATTACTTTCTTGTGAAATATAATTTGTGTTTGCTCATAAAATTAATCGTATTCGGTATAACTCACAAACTCTTTTAATAAAGAACTAATTAGGGCACATTTACCACTGTTAGGTACAGAAAAAGCAACTGATTGCTATTGATATTGAATTGCAAGAAATTCATCGAATTGATTTTCAATACCTTAGTCCAAATCACGTCCCGCTCGACTTGTCCACCAACTTTGCTGAAATTCATAGAGGCTGATCAAGTAGGTTTAATTAAGATGGACTTGAGAAGCTTGCCATACCCTAAACATGGCATTACGTACAAATTAAAGTAAGCTAGCTAAATTTGTCAATGGACAAGAAGCAAGAAGACAAGAATCCTTCATATTACGACTAAATCATAAAAAATTTACAAATATTTGTAAATAAAGAGAGAGAAATAGACAACCTCTCTACAGTTAAATTTCATTGATCTCTATACAAATTAATTTGAACTTTAGCAAGCTGTAGATGGATGGGTGCTAAAGGGGTTGAAGATCAAGTGAGCCGGCTTCGATCCAATCAAAAAGGAACTCGTCGACGCCCCATGATGATTATGGTGGTCACCGCCGTTGCTGATTTTTTCACAAGAAGGGCACATGGTGAGAGTGGCTGTTGGAAACTGCATGTAAAAGGGTGGTGGTGATGCTGCTGCTGTTGCCGTTTGTTTCATTAACTTGAGCTCTTGCAGCTCCTTGTGTAGCCTTCTGTTCTCTTCTTTCAGCGTCTCACAGCACTTTTTCAACAACTCACAATCCGCTTCAGTTTGCTTCAACTTGGTCCTATACATGTATATAGAACAAATTAGATTTGAGGCTATATATTTCTCATGCAAGCATCAAACATCTTGGAAATAATGAAGAATAAGATTTATCACGCCTACCTGGCCCTCCTGTTTTGGAACCAGACTTCCACTTGTCGCGGGCGTAGATTTAGCTTTCTTGCCAGGTCTTGCTTTTGCTT